TGTACTGATTATGTACTCTATTAATTTTAATGTTTATAATTTTTTAAATGTTCTTGCTTTTATTGTTTTGCAAGCTGTCCCATCACTTCAATACTAACATGGATGGCATAACATCCAGTACAACTACACAATTTATTTGTGCAAGATTTGAACAGTTGTTAATGGAGAAAGGGTAATAAAATTAAGAATGCCTTGTGCCGTTTATCCCAAAGCAATTGCTATTCATTTTAACACAGATCTGACTTAAGGTACTAAGAAAGTAATGACACAATATGTTCTAAAGTTGAAAGACAATACTAGGGACAACACTGGTAATCGTTTTTTGCCTATCAGTTAAATAAGCTGTAGGACTTTGTTGCTTTTTAAAAATAAGAATTTGTATACTTTGCAATGTAATTTCTTATGTATGTTAAAACATTCTTTGTGTGCGTACACTGTAATATTTGTAATCATGAGCATATTATAAAGTATAATATTTGTAATCATGCTCAATAGATTCTGTATGTATTATAGATATTGGGGGGAAATGTGGACGCCCACCTCCTGTGGAGCATGGAGACATCAGGGACTCACCCAAGGCAAACTATTTCCAGTCTGAAAGTGTAACTTATCAGTGCCAAAATCTCTATACATTGGAAGGTTCTCCCAGAGTGACTTGTCAAAATGGTCATTGGTCACAAACACCAACATGTAGAGGTATAAGTAATATCTATAATTCTTTATAGATTTATTCTTTATAGATAAATATTGTACTTTGGGAATGGAATAAATTTCATGACATCAGAGCTGTTATGTCAGTATGTTAGTGTCAAAAGATATTTTACTGCCTTGTTATGGAATTAGAAGCGGTAGTATTCTGAAGCAAGATAAAGTAACTCTCTCAGGGAGAAACTGCCTAATAATGGACAATTGTACAAAATCTTCCACCATTTACAAAAGTTGTCCTCATTTTGTGTAAACTTGCTGCTGAAATTCTGCTTTCCCTAAGCTACATTTCATAACAGACACCTTTTTAGTCAATGGCATGATTGAAAAGAACTTGTAAAAATTCAGTTTTTAGTTTACTTGAGTTCCGTATGTAGATTTTCTTTTTCTTAGTATTTCACAGCTGAGATCACAGTGCACTCTAATCATCATCGTCATCGTCATCAATCAATCAATCAATCAATCAATCATTCCTTGAACAAAAATTACAAAAAGCCATGTTTCCCAACAATCCCATAGGATTTTTGTTTTGTTTTGTTTTTTGAATGATAGCAATACTTGAATCTCTAGGGAACTAAAATTATTGTTTTTTAAATAGGCATTTTATAAATGGAGGCAGACTGTTCTCTTTTGACTTAATCACATCTACCCTGATTAGTCAGTGTTGAAAAAGAAGATATAAGGTGACATTTTAAGAGAAGTTGCCTGAACGTGGTCTTCCACTAATTGAGATCTTCAGTATGAGGAAATTTGGAAGAAGAAGGAGACTAAACCATTTTTCTTCTTCCTTTTACACATGTAACATTGTCTTGCTTAAAAGAGGTTTGTGTATGTTAGGCAGTTTAGTTCATGACTGATAATAGTTGAAAGACAAAAGGAAAAGGGAGGGACAAAGAAAGAGAAAAATCCTTTTACATAGCTCTCTAATCATTTTATCCTACTGCAACATAGAATTTCTAACCTAAACTTTAATTGTTTTATCAAATGAATACTTCAAACTTTTTATATGTCATTTGATCTGTGTCCTTCTGCAGGTGCTTGTACAGCAAGTGAAGAAGATATGAGAGAACACAATATAAAGCTGAAGTGGACCAATGGGGATAAAATATATTCTGCAGATGGAAATATCATTGAATTTCAATGTATAAGACGTCATAAACTACATCCAAATTCTGGAGCATTAAGAGTTAATTGTGTGAATGGGAAATTTGACTATCCGCATTGCATTCCTGTATGTATACTTTTAGAAAAATATTTTAATTCACCAATATTAACATTTCTTTCCCTTTTCTATATCTTTATTTATGCATTGAAAAAAATCACTTAAAATAGTTAAAAGTCTGGCAGCTAAAATTGTAGATGTAATAGATTCTGAGGTAACTTAGTCTTCCGCAATTCTTCTAAATCAGAACACTTCTTAAGATTCCTATAATTTAAATAAAATTCCCTCCATTCAGAGCAATGGGAGAGAAGCACTATGGGAATGGGGGTAATATTTAAAAATAATGAGGAATGGGGCACGGAATGTTGAATCTGCCAACATTTCATCTCTTCTGGTCTGTTGCTGAATCCTGATAGATTCCAAGATGAAGACTAGGAGATTTCTCTGTGCTGGGGGTGAAATGAGTGGAAACTCTACTTTAAACCCAGTGGGCTATTTTCACTGATTTCATTGGCCTGAGTGCAACAAATTTAGTTGCCTCAAAATGAATGGTTCCAAATGAATGCCCATACATTCTACTTTATTTATTTCATTTGCATTGATATTCTCCTTCTCTTTAAACTTGCATATTCTTACTCACTTACTCATATGTCTATATGCATATTTATAAATACCTGTCAGAAGCCACAGAACCAGAACAAAATATAAAATTAATTGATTAGTAACCACTAATACTAATATAGCAATAGCACTTAGACTTATAGACCACTTCATAGTGTTCTACAGCCCTCTCTAAGCTGTTTCCAGACTCGGCATATTGACCCCAAATATCTGGTCCTCATTTTACCAACCTTGGAAGGATGGAAGGCTGAGTCAACCTTGAGCTGGTTAGTATCAAACTCCTGGCAAAGGGAATGCAGAGTTAGCCTGGAATACTGTGTTCTAACCACTGCACCACCAGCTCTGTGTAATCATACATTATTTATTACATGTAAAATAAGGCATCCCATTAAATATTTCTAAGCTTAGAATAGATGGAAAAATAGATTGAACAAGAAGATCCTCTGAAATGAATTGGACAATATTGATTGATTATCCATCACTAAATGAATTTCTATTGATCCCAGTCCCCATAGTTCTTCTTTCCCATTGCTCTGAATGGAAGGAATTTAGTTTGGATAACAGAAATCTTATTATATGATGGGGTTTGCATTTGAAATTGCAATTAGTACAAATGGTATTAGTGAAATACAAATCTGTGTTGAGATTTACATGTAAATATCAAATATTTCTATAGTGGACATTTTATTAGAACATCTTAGTTGATAAAAAAATGAGAACTTTCTTGGCCTTGCTGGACTACAGTTCCCAGTATCCTTCTATTGGCTGTGTTGTCTGAGGATAATGGGAATTTGTTTATTCGCTGCATTTGTGTTCCATCTTTCCTCAAATGTATCCCCTGTGAGGATGATTTAAAGTTTGGTAACATCTAATTCCCAAATCCTATTTGGAGTGGGATTCATTCAGATTCATTCCGAGTACCATTTATTTCCCAAAATATCAAGAATTCCTAATAAATTGTGTCAAAATTCATCTTAAAAAATAGAAAGAAATTGCTCAGTGATAAAATGGTCTACAGTTTTTGAGTCACTTGAGTAGTTTTATTCATTTGATGTAAAAAAATGGCGACGCTGACATTTCAGAATTTTATTGTTCATGTAGTTTGATATCTTAAAATTATTGCAGGCTGCATTCTGCTGAAGATCAGATGAATCAGTTTTAAAAAGAATTACATAAAATGTACAGATGCAAATTTATTTCTTTACTGTTCACATTTTATTTTACAGAACTAAGTAAATGAACAAGAGAACATATACAGCACCGTTGAACCAGAAGATGAAAGTCTGAAATCATATATCATTCTCTTTAATATGTTCACATGAAGCTGGATTGTATATAGTTATAAACAGTGGATCCAAATCTAAAAGCCTATTTCATAAAAGACAAATTTTACCAACTGTAATTACTGGGAAAATGATAAATTTCTAGACCATCTTTAAGCAGATAAAATACTATAATGTAACATTATATATAACATCCCCTAAACTCCGCAGAAGATGTTACCTAGCCTGGTAATGAAATATTCAGATACCAACACACAAGCTCGGAGAACGAACCTCCAACCTCATAATGTAACATTATAAATACATTTTTAAATGCATCTGGAATGAAGAATGTAGATTGTTTTCTATATATATTTTAGCTGTAAACATTTGATTAATCTGAATTATCAATCAGCAGCCCATTTTAAAGCAATGACAATAGATCATTGAAATTGATGTTTTTACATATAGAGGTGTTAAGTTCTTTAAAAAATAAAAAAAATCCATAAATGATTTTTACAGTCACACAATTTTAGTATATTTTGTAAAGATACATTTAATACTCCAGTTCACAGTCTAATCCAAGATCCAGAAAGAGTGGCTCTGGAAATAGCCTACTCTATTTTGATGTTCAGAATCTGATGGAGGTTCAGCCAGATGGATTTCTATAATTGTTTTTGTTTTGTTTTGTTTTGTTTTTGTTTATTTGTTTTTTACAGTACAAAATTATATATTTATAAGTAATTAAAGATTAAGATAAAGTTTAGAAATTGGCACAGGCTTTCCAAACTACATTCCTACAAAAGCTGTTATTTAACCCCGAATGGGCTAGAATTTGCCATGACTGATTCAATGTTCTATACAAAGTGAACCCATTCAAAGTGAGTCTTATAGCAAGTGTTTGAACTAACAATTTCCTCATTTTTGGTTTACCATAGACTAACAAGGCTCTGCTTCCTTTAATGAACAAAGTGAAGGGGACTTCATAAGGAATTTGATGTGTCCTTCTTGAATGTGATAGAGCTGTTTGGTGGAAACCTATACAGAAGTATAAGATATTATCTCACTGGCCTTTTTTAAGCATTAATTGATTTGCCAGATTAGGTCAGCCAGCTGATGTAGCTGATGGAATACAAGTAATCCTTGTTTAGCAGCCACAATTGGAACCAGCAATTCAGTTGTTACAAAAAATAGTTGCTAAGTGAAAAATCATGTGACTACTTTTTATTTTATTTCAGCTCCCTTTGCTTATAGCATCAGATGGATATGACCCCATATATCTAGTGAGCCCAAATGAAGGGATTCACAAGGAAGCCAGATAAAGGGGAAGATCTTGCTGCTCCCCACCCTTTGGAATGTTCACTTTGATGTTGGGATAATTAGCAAGAAGAGAATGTTTGTAGTTGCATTGAGTTGAGGGAAAGGGATTACAAGAGCGTAAACAGGCACACCAAGGGGAATATACATTGAAATGCACGTACTAGTGCCAGCTGTTTGCCTAGCCCTAGTGCAACTCATGAACCTCTTAGGATGTGTCTTCCAACTTCCTGCCAGGTTCCTGGTTTTACTTGTGGCAAGCTTGCAGGGAATATAGGAAATCACAGTCATGTGACCCCTGGGACACCGTGACAACTAGAACTTTGAGGATCATTGGACATTCCCCTTATTCAGTGCCATTGCAGTTTTGAATGGTTGCTGAATGAATGACCATAAGGACTATCTGTAATTGCAAAAGCTTGGCTCCCATGATTGGAATACAGAAATATAGTATGGAAGTGTATGGATTTCTAGCTGAGAAGAGAAATAAATAGAAGGGAAAGAAGAAAGGAAGAAGGAAGCTGCAAATGGGTATATTGTATATATGTACATAGATACTGATGACCAAATATTGAACCCCCATAGGAAGGCATGAGATTGCAATTGTTAAGCAAAGCTCCACCTGACTTCTGGGGTCCTCTTTTAGCACAGGACCCACCATGCAGATGGGTCCATATAAGAAGACCAGGACAGCAAGAAAGATAACCAAAGCTCAAGCCCAAAGCTTTTTGGAGCTCCTGAATGCAGGAATGTCTAGTTAAAAAAAATAGATTGCATTCCCACTTCAGAGATGTATAAACTGCAGAAGAAATGTGACAGGAAAACACTCAAAGCTATAGTTGTAAGAGAGACTATTCCCCTGATACCACCTGAAAAGGTATTACCAAATTAGGGGACAGAAGCAGGATGGTAAATTCCCCTCCCTGTAAAATGGGGATAGCAGAGGCAAATGCTAATAAAGGGAGCCATCTCAGGAAACCAATGCCCACATATTACTATTTAATAGGATTCATAAAATTTTCTGTGAGTAAGATACTTGTGTTGAAAGAAAAATCTTTAGGGTCCAGTCCAAGATTATCAAATCTGCATTTCTACAGAGCTGGTTTCTGCTTGGGGCAGAGAGACTTGGGGGGGGGGGATTTCTGCCTAAGATTTTCTCCATTATTCCTTTGGGGAAATATAATATTCTGCCTTTTTAATATTCCCCAAAATATTTCTTTCTTTGAAGGGGGTGCTGTCTTCCTGCAATCCCCCCTTTGTGCCATATAAGTGTGGGAAAAGGATCCCTGCAGTGGCTCCCAAAAGGGGTGTCTTTCAACCATGAAGGTCTAAAGCCAGGGCAAAAGTTATGTTAGGTCAAACAGAAATTTATAACGGCCAATATTCTGTGCCAATTCTTTTAGATGTTTGATGTCACTTTGAGTTCCAGTGAGGTTTGCACATCCCTCCCAAAATTCTTCACAGCCATGGTTTGCTTCAGTACATAACCATTGGCTGCCCATTTTCAAGAGTTGTTTCCTGCCTTAGCTCTTAGTTTAGTGCATCCAGGGTTTGTGATGTCCAACTGAGGTTAGCCAGTGTGCTATTAATATTTCTTAAATTGCACACAGTGAGCCCTAGGACTCCCACTCTGAGTCCACTATTGCAACATATTCAGGGCTTGGGTTTGGAAATCTCTTTTCTGCTATTTCCTCAGTGAGGGCATATGGACTGTAAATCACCTGAGGGAGGCATGGATCCCTCCCCCTTGGAATTTTCAGTAAGGTATGCATGCAAAGGCCTTAATGACACATAGCAAGAACCAGCCTGGGGAGCTTTACT